TCTCTGCAGCTGATTGTCCCATCCTTTCTCCATCCTCTAGTTGAGTCTCATTGAGTCTGGGGATTTTATGAGCTTGAGAAGGGAGGAAATGTGTGCTGATAGATCCATGGGCAGCCATGGGTGGGCCCAAAGAAAAGCACCACAAGTTTGCCCCTCTGGTTCTTAGGACTGGTGGCTCAGCCCCCCGGCTTCAGGCCCTCCCCAGCTTGAACGTAGGGCTTCACTGGGGACCTACCCTCTTCCATCCAGGACCCTGTCTGCCTCCTGCCACTGTTCAGGGCACCCAGGCTGTTCATACCAAGGGGTGCCTGCAGGCCAGTGCTGAGCTGTCCTCACACCCTCTTAGCCTCCTTCTCATGCTTGTCAGTGCCCAAGTCCAGAGGGGGCTGAGGAGGCAGGGGGCTGGCATGTCAGCACTACCCTGAGCGTGTGCACACCCAGCTGGGCTGTGATGGCACCAGGCTTGGTCCCAGCCTTACTCTGAGATCACAGTGGGCGCTGGTAGTGGGGAGAGGCCAGGCAGCGGAAGCAGACACCTTCAAACCTGCAGGGGTAAGGGGGCCTTCCCAGGCCCCAGAGAGTGCAGAGATGTCTGGGTCTGCAGTCACAGTTGGGCGACTGCAGCCATGCCCAGGAGGGCAGGACTCTTGCCTGCTCCTGGCCCCCAAAAGCACGGGGAGGCCAAGGAGCGATGGAACAATGAGCAATTGCCAGCTCTACCCTGGGCCCAGCTCTGCCTCAGGGTCCCTCTCTCCTGGCCCCTCTGCCTCTAACTGTGCTGTTTCCCCACCATCGGGTGACTCTGCCTGGCCCCCTCGCAGTGGACCCCAGGGCAGTGGACTCTGGGAGGCTCCCAGGAGTGGGCTCCAGGGACTGTCTGCCTCCTCCCTGCACCCTCCCTGCAGCAGTGGTGGGTGAGAGTGGTGAGGTAGAGCCAGAGTCCGGAGCAGCAGAGGCTCCAGGCCTGGCACTGGGTCCTGCCCAGCCACGCAACTGTGAGAAAGGTGCAGTCATGTGCCTCGGGTATGGGGGACACAGGGGTTGCAGGGCACAGGAGTCGCACTGCCACCACTGCCACTACCACATCTGCTCCCGCGGCCACCACCTTCCCCCTGCCTGCCGCAGCCAGCGCAATGGTAGCAGCTACTCTGAACAGCCCACCGCTGCTACCAGCTTGACCCAGTGGCTCAAAAATGTCACCAAGGACGTAGTTTCATTGTTTCACCTCTGCTTTTCATAGTTTTATCTTTATCATAAGGCTGGCTTCCTGTGTGGTCTCAAGGTGACTTTTAGAATCTCCCTTGACTACACGCTCATCTCTCACATCAGAGACAGACAAGAGACGAGAGAGAGAACCTCTCAGCAGGCAAAGCAGATGTCCCGAGATTCACTCTGATTGAGCCACACATCCACCCAGAAGCCAGTGGCCGAGGCCAGGAATGGAATATGCTGGCTGGTGTGAACCCAGTGGGATCCATTTCTACCGGAAGCTGGAGCAGAGTTTGCTGCCTCCGCAGCATAAGGGCTCTGTGCAGGACAGGTGGATCCTCAGGGAATAACAGTGCTCTGGGAGGAAAGCAGAGGGGCAGGTGGTGGCAGCCAGAAAAGCCCACTGTACCTTCCCCGGCCCCCAGCGGGTGGGCTGCTCACCCTGACTCTGAGCCCCCAAGAGCCCTGTTTCCTGCTTTCCCTGCACTGTTGTCACACTCACATTAGACCATGAACGTGGTGACGGCAAGAACCACCACTTATTGACCACTATATGCCCTAGTCTCAGGACTTTTCTCAGGCCCTGTACTTGACAGGCATTCGGTCAATGCTCGTTCAATGGCAAAACCCAGACAAAGCTACTCATGCAGGACTCCCGTGACATAGACGTCCCTCTGCCCAAAGTGGCCATAACAACTTCCTGTTTGTTTTAAAACATGGATGCTTATTCTTTTCCTTGCGTGATCTCCTAATTTGGGAAATGAAGTATGACTCCAGGAAGCGGGTTTGTAGGTGCCTCACTGCCTGTGCTTCCTGCTCCGGGCAGAGGTGGGACGGCGGTTCGCAACTTCCTCCAGATGCCCACTTCCCCCGGGGTGACGATGACATAAATGTGGTTCCTCCCAAGCCCAATCACGGCATCCACGCAGCAGAGACACTGGGGCAGCCCCAGGAAACCCAGAGTTCGGCACATCCCAAGCTTGGACTCTGGGGCTAAAAACAGCCTCAGGCAAGGATCAAAGAGTTCTTCCCACCGTGTAAGAAACCCCAGGGGGCATGAGCTCATCACATGCTCTCCAAATGGGGGTTGGCCAAATGTCACTGTCTCCTTTGCTACATTCTTTGTCTAGTGCACAGGGTTCCAATAGTGGCCTGAGATCCACAGCTTCGCCCCTACCCCACCAGCCTCACCAGGCCTGTTCTAGGGTGGTGAGGGCAGAAAGGACCCGAGACTGGCTCCTAGGCCTCAGCCAGCCCATCAACCAAGGAAGTGCTCAGTCACATGCCCAAGGGGACCTGGAGACTGTAGGGGGCCACTCCCAAGACCTCCCTGCACGGACCAGCTGTGTAACCTCCTGCTCCTATTCCTCAACCTCCCCTCCCCACTGCACCCCACCCCCAGGGCTGGTCGGTAGAAATAGGGCCAGAACACAAGAACTTGTTAGGAATTGAGTAGCATGCAGCCCTGAGACACACTCCTGCTCTTCTTCAAGGCAGCTGTAGACACCACTTACTCTTCAACCAATCTTTGTCTTGCCGCTTGAAAAGTGTAAACAAGGAGGGACATGGCAGTCACAGCCCCAAGGAAGGGGCCGCAAGCTAGCACTGGTGTCCTAGGAGCCAGGCAGCTGGAGTTTGAGGAGAAAGCTACAGGATGCCTGGCCTCACTCCTCTGCACCTTCTAGGCCTTTCCAAGGGCAAGAGCCGCTGGGAGATGGGGAAGGAGAGGGAAACATTTTGCACTCCAGGCAGGGTTCAAGGCAAACCACGGTGAGCAAGAGTAAGGTCTGTGTTCCTGACTTTGAGTGGAGGGTGGGGCAGAGGAGTGACACTGAGACACCCACTGCCCCTGAGCCACCCTCATCCCTCAAAGACTTAGCTAAGCTGCAGCAGCTCGGCTTCTGTCTGCTTTACACACAAGGCTTCTGAACAAGGCAGCGAGGGAGAATCAAAGGGGTCCACTGCACATGCTTTTGATGAGCATCTCTGGGGCTCCAGGGCTCCTAGTGTGGCTGGAAAGGAAACTCAGGCTGGAGAGGAATCATTGGAGGGCAGTGGGGGCAGCCAGGCAGAACTTCAAGAACCACAGAGGGACATCCCCCCGTCAACCCTGTCCTCGCTCACAGGAGAGCACTGGGCAACAGCCAGTGACAGTGAAGGGTGTGGGCTGCACTCCAGTCTGGGCGACAGAGAGAGACTAAGCTGCATTCCACGGGACTGTGTACAAACCCCACTTTTCAAAACCAGTTTCAGTTCCAGGCTTTGTCCTGTGGGTTTGTGGTGTGTCAGGGCTTTGGCCTGAGGGGAGGCAGCTGAAGGCACCTGGTGGGGTCAGGTTTCCCGCTGAGCCCCTCGTCCAAGCAGGCCTGGGTCTCCCTTCAGAAGCCACCACAGCCAGGCCTGTCAGGGCTTTCATTTTTCTTTGGAAAATTCTTTAGGCTACTTTGCATTTATCCCCATAGACTGCTTCCCTCAACACACACACAAACACACACGTACTCATAAAACACAAGCAACTCTAAACACACACACACACAAGGCCTTTCTATGCTACTGTGGATTCCCACCCATCCTTCTCAGTGTACGCACATTCCTTTGGGATAATTTTATGTATTGTGGATAAAAAGTATGTGTGTATTTTTATCTTGCTCTGTCCACCTGATATATCACCTACATATTTTTATGTGTAAACACTGAGTGATAGCACTGGCTATTTTAAAAAAGAAAACCTCGGCCGGGCACGGTGGCTCATGCCTGTAATCGCAGCACTTTGGGAGGCCAAGGCAGGCGGATCACGAGGTCAGGAGATCAACACCATCCTGGCCAACACGGTGAAACCCCATCTCTACTAAAAATATAAAAATTAGCTGGGCGTAGTGACAGGGGCCTGTAGTCCCAGCTACTCGGGAGGCTGTGGCAGGAGAATCACTTGAACCTGGGAGGTGGAGGTTACAGTGAGCCGAGATAGTGCCATTGCACTCCAGCCTGGCAACAGAGCAAGACTCCGTCTCAAAAAAAAAAAAAAAAGAAAAAAGAAAAAGAAAGCAACTGGAGAAGGTGATCCCTTAATCCCAAATGATTCTTAAATGGGATTCTTCAAGGCACTGCAGCCTGAAGACAGGGGGTAGAGGAAGAGAAGAGAGGGTTGAAAATGCCTGTTCTGAAAAGTTCTAAGTGTCCGAGGAGAAACAGCTGGCCCTGGTCCTGGGCCTAGGGCCTGTTCTATCTGCCTCCTGGCCCCACCTCCCCTAGGTGAGGGAAATGGTGATGCCTAGAAGCAGCCCCAGAAGCCTCCAGGTTGGGGACTCAGCCAATCCCGCCCTGAGGACATCCCCTTGAGCACCATTCAGCCACAAAGGAGAAGACAGGCTCAGCAGACAGCGGCAGAGCCCAGATGCCTGCTGAAGGGTGGAGGGCACGGGTTCCATAAAAATGAAATGCAGGGCCCAGCACAGTGGCTCACACCTATAATCCCAGCACTTTGGGAGGCCAAGACAGGGGGACTGCTTGAGCTCAGGAGTTCAAGACCAGCCTGGGCAACATGGCAAAATGCCATCCCTACAAAAAATACAAAAATTAGCTGGGTGTGGTGGCATATGCCTGTGGTCCCAGCTACTCAAGAGGCTGAGGTAGGAGGATCACCTGAGCCCAGAACGTCAAGGCTGCAGTGAGCTGAGATCACACCACTGCACTCCAGTCTGGGTGACAGAGAGAGAGACCTGTCTCCAAAAAAAAAAAAAGGAACTCAGAATTCAGAATTCAGAAATTCAGAAACTCAAAAGCAAAATTAGGCATACAAGTGAAAACTTGTTTAGAATGAGAAAAGTCCAAACAAATTACAAGTTTTAAAAAGCTGACAAATTCCACAAACTTCACTAAATTCAAAACAATATGCCAGACCCTGAAGCTGCCTCTGCACCTTCCCAGCCACATGCTGCTCCATGTCCCACCTGCCACACTCCCCGCCAGCAAAAGGGCCTGCTCCGGTCAACCCCAAATACTGCACCTTCTTGCCCAGCACAGTGGGCAGGAAGAATGTGCCTGGGAGCCATTCCCACCCCACGATGGCCTTGACCTTGACCTTGACCATACATGGAAGTGCCACAAGCATGTAAATACATCTCCCTAAACCCAGATAGACTCCCCAGCTCAGCATTTCCTCAGCCAGGTCCCAGTGGTTCCCTACCCAGCCACTTGTCAGTGCTCTTAACTGATTTCAGTTAAAGAACTTTTTGCAATTTTTACAAAAACATATGACCATGTGGACCCATTATTGCTAGGGCCACCCCCAAAGGCTTGTGAGGCTCTAGTGCACTGAAGGGCCCCGAGGCTGAAGCTTCATCAGCTTCTGATGGCTCCACTCCTGCTGGGGACCGTCACTCTTCACTGCTCACTTTGTCTGGCTGGCTTCTGCTGCAGTGTAAATGTCACCTCCTCCTGACCCCCAGCCTAAAGTAGGCATGTGCTATTCTCTATCAAAGAACCTAGGTTTTGCCTGCGTGGTATTTTTCACAATTTGTAGCTATATTCTTGTGTATTTATTGTTTGATGTCTATCTCTCCCACCAGACTGTCATCCCCCAGAAGGCAGGGACCACACCTGTCTTGTCCACCAAGCGTTTCCAAAGCCTGGTGCCTACTAAGCCCCCATTCATAATGACAGAGTGAGTAAAAGGTGTGCTGCTTTGTGATTCTGAGTTACACTTTGTAAGTGGCAGAGCAGATGCTGGATGAGCTGCTCCCTCATCACCCAACTCTGCTGAACCATCTCCTCTCAACAGAAGAGCTAACCGCCTGCTAAGTCCACACATGCACAAAGATACAAAAACCCAAAATAAAACAACAGAAAGGAGGAAACGATACCAGGGATCTCATGGGGAATCATCTATGGAGCACCACCCCTTTCTAATGTTTATTAGAAATATGAAAAAGATCATAAAAAATACAGAAACACAAGAGCGGTGCTTTTGAACAATCGGAAAGTTCTGGAAGGCTCAAAAGTAAGCAAGACAGAGACACAGGGTGGAATGGGTTAAACCCACTATGCACACATGAAACACACTACATGATATAAACATTTCTTAGAAATATGAAATTCAGCTAGAAAAAAGATCAGCCCAAAGGCATAAGAAAGAGAGTGAAAGAGAGGGAGAGAGAAAGGGAGAAAGCAATCATTAAGAACTCAAAATTTAGCAAAATGAGAAAAGTTACCTAAAAGACTAATGATTCTCAGCCTGAGCTAATACTAGCCTGTCCTGTCTGCAGTGTGGCACATGTGAGGAACAAATCTTTCAGGCTTGTCATCAGCCTGACAATGCTCGTGTGGAGTTGGTTTTGGGCTTGGCACTGGAGTGGGGAGGCCACCACCCCTCATGCCACTCCACAGAAACGCCTCCTGGGGCCTTAACTCTGCTCACTGGGAACTCTCACTCCCAGAGGGGAATCCAGGAATCCAGGAGCAGAGGGCTGATATTCCTCCTGCCCCCAGGCCTGTTTCCATGGTGACAGTGACCCTCAGGCTGTGAACACCAAGAAGGAAAGTCAGATCACAGGTCCTTGGAAGCAGAGCAAGCTCTCCCTCCTGGGGGCCTCCTTGCCAGCTCCTCTCAGCCCCGGGCCCCCAGCCCCCAGCACGGAAGTCCTTTGTCTCTGGCTGTGTCTGTAACTGCCTTGCTGCCCCTCGGCCTCCCCTCTGGCCCCCCTTCTCTGTCTGCCGAGTAGCACATGTTCTCCTGCCTCCTGATTGATCTATTCGGAGAGAATGGGGGGAAACGACTCTTTAATTAATCTCCTGCCTTAATTAATTATTGTAATGGCTTTCAACTTGGGGGGAATGAGGGCCACAATGTACTTAATATGTTTTTATGTCGGCGAACACATTTTCTACTTGGCAGAGAAAGAAGAGGCCTGTTTTGGGTTTGGAGCTCCGGAGTGATTTATAAAGGGCGTTAACACCAGAGGAATACTCCTGCTGCGGACTCACGGGTTGGCTTTCTCTGGTGACCAACTTTCACCCTCCACCTCTCCCTCTCCCTTCGAGCTCCCCCAGTCTGCCCACCTCTCATTCCTCCCTTTCCGGTACTTCTCCCCCTTCTAACCTACCTCTTTTGCCTGGATTCACTGTGCTCATTATTCCCACCTCACCCTCTCACTGTCACAGTTTCTCCAAAGACACTTAAGGAAAATGGCCACCGAGCAGAAGCTCTCAGGGTTGGCGTGCATTGACTGCATGGAACAGGTCAGGGGCCTGGAAGGACACTGTGGGCAGAAAAGGTGGGCATCGGGTCAGCTTTGGCCTGTTTCTCTGTGGTGACCGCTCACGCACCCTATGAAAGGTGGAGAAGGTTACCAGGAATACCTCATATAAATAAAATGCTTTCCAGGCCTCAGTGACCCTGGGTGGGAAGCCCTTTGGAGAAGGCTCCCAGGTTTGCCAGGAGTGGGGAAAATGCTATCTGGGCTGGCAGAATTTCTGGACAGAAGAAGATGAAGTAAAGAAGAAAAACAGTCCCACAAATCACTCCTCAATGAGGTGAGAGTCTCCACGGCAACCTGTCCAGGGCTGAGCACCAAGGAGGCAGGAGATGTACCATCACCATGGAAACCACATCCTAGAAACTCACTGATATTGGTCCCTGTTTGCCTCTGCAGATGAGGTGTTGGGGGTGGGGACTAGACCTGCAGGGTCCCTGGGGGAACTGGGACGAGGTGAGCATGAGGAAAAAGGGGCAGGAGAGATGAGCAAGGTGAGAGGACAGGAAGGAGAGATGGAGAGAGAGCAGGAAAGGTGAAGGGAGGAGGGGAAGTTACCAAGAATGAGACAGCCTCTCTCAGGGGCACCCTGAGCTCTCTGGCCCTTCCCCAGCAGGGGACGGGCCCTGTGGGGACGAAGTGCTCTGTGCCATGCAAGGGGGTGCACCTGGGAGCTGAGCCAGGTGGAAAGGCCTGAGCTGGGGCCCAGGCTGAGTCTCGCTGTTGGAGATAGGCACCCACCCATCCTGGCTGCTTTTATTCCATCTCTGGTTATCATCTAGTCAAGATGAGTAAATGGAGCACATCTGGGCGCCCATTCACTGCCCACACTGCAACCTTCCAAAGGATCTGAGACCAGAGGAACCCAATGTGCAGTCTCCAGTTGCTCCCCTGCCCCTGGGTACCCACACATAAGAGTGCCAGGGCGGGAGGGTGATTGGAAGCTGAGCTCCAAAACCGGCCTCTTCCCCTAATTATACCCAGACCCGGGGTTGCCATTCTCTTTTCCTTGAACTTAAGTGGCAACTGGGTACCTAGCGCCACCTTCTGGCAGCCATGATCAGAACTGGCTGGTCCCAGCAGGACCTCCACAACAGAGCCAGGAACCTGCTCTTCAAGCCAGGTGTCAAACTAGGACCCTCCACCAAATGCCCCTCCAATAGCCTGTGGGCCGGATGAACTGTTCAGTCAAAGGAGCCACAGAGCGCATCCAGTTTAGAGAGCCAGCGCCAGCTCTGACACTGACGGGCTGTGTGATCTTGGCAAGCCCGTTGCCTCACTGGCCTTCAGTGTCCAAATCTGTGCAACAGAGGCTTAGACCAAATTGCCCAGCAAAGCTCTGAGCGCCTTGACTCCAGCCAGAATCTAGTCACTACCTGGGGTATTCTGTGGAGTCTGAGGGGAGAAGCTAGGACCCCTCCTCCAGTGGCCCTCAGAACTTCTCCATGGCCCAGGGTCTCTATAAGCCCCACATGGTTCAAGGGGGCCCAGCACAGACAGGTATCAGTTTCCCATCACCTTCCCCTTATCAGGTGGGCCCGCCAAGAAGCGGGCAGAAATGGAAACCACAGCACACACAGCACCCACTGCAAGGCATGCTCCAACCCTCCTCCGAGAGCACGGCAGCCCCACCTGCCCTCATCTGTAGTCTGAAAGAACCCCTGTACCACAAGGCTCCTAGCAATCTGCTAGAGGAGGAGGAGTGCTGGAGAACTGGCATTCTCCCAGTTGATGCTGGCACCTCCTGCCCTTCCTCCATTTTCTGCAGGTGGAGCCCCACTTCAGGACAAGGGGCCAAGTGTATGATGCTTCCTCAGCACTGTGAATGAACACACGGCTACTGAGCTGCCTGCTGGCAATCAAGGGAGCTAGCTAGGGCTGCAGGAGGGGGGCCTGGAGGGGACTGTGGTCACCCTGGTGTCCTGGACAGTCACTAGGTAAGTAAATAGAGGTTCTGAGTTGGAGAGCCAAGTTCAAATCACAGCTTTCCTGTTTAGTGTTCCATAACCTCATGACATCTTCTCATTTGCTAGTTGAAGAAAATGGCAGAATCTTCCCCTCAGGGTTCTGCTGAGGATTAAGCAAGGTCATGTATGTACAACCCTTAGCAGCACTCATCATCATAGACTCAATTCAGAAGATTCCAGATTTGGGCCAGGCCAACTCTGACTCATCCCAATATTAAGAGCATGTTTAAAGTGCAATCTTGAGTGTTCCTTCCATCAATAACTACTTATTGAGCACCTACTACATGCCAAGCACTGCGGTGGACCGCAGGACTAGAACAGCAAAGAAGAGAGACACGATGCCAGATTTCTTGGAGCTTCTAACCTGGTGGGAGGCAAGGGAGAGTGGTGAATAAACATCAAACAAGGACACAAAGAATGAGTTTCTCTGCATTGTGATGGGGAAGCAAAGGTGCCAAGAGAGCATATGAATAGGAAGCTGACCTCGTCTGGGTGGTCAGGGATGATTTGTCTTTGCCTCTTTCTTCTTCCTGCTGATGGGAATGACAGCACAATGGCTGGAGCTTTGCAGCCATCTTGAACGATGAGGCACAGCTGCTGGATGAGGGGCCTGCATTCCTGATAACCTTGTGAAGGTACCTAAGCCCCCTCTGTATTCTCTATTCCTAACTTACAGAGAGAAAATGACTTTTATATTGTCTAAAGATGGTGTTGTTTTCGTTGAACTGCTGAACTGGAGTTAGTGTTGCACACACCGCCTCTTCATTAGACTGTAAGAACCCTGGGGGAAGATGGAGGGCAGCACCCAGCACAGGGCCTTCCTATAGAAGGGAGTATCAGTGGCTATTTGTGGAATTAGCTGATTAAGCAGGAAGGAGTTGAGAGGAGACAGAAGAATCATTGGACAGACAAATCAAGGGACAAGAAGCTTGAACCATTTCTGAGACATCTGAGGACAGAGCCGAAGGAAGGTGAGACAGAGACTCAGCAGCCAAGGACAGGGCCTGACTGAACAGGCCCTGGGAGATAAGTGACTTCTGAAACAAGTACCTTAAGGTGTTGGAGGACTCCTCGGGGACAGCTTGATGCTGACCGTGGCCTTGAGTGTAATGTCCAAGGAAGACCCAAGACACGGGGAGCAGAGGGACCTGGGTTTAAATCCCGCCACTTAACAGCTGAGTGAGTTCAGGTAAGTTGCCTGGCCTTTCTGAGTCTAGGTTATCAATACAACAACTTAAATAGACGGGATAATAAGTGTGAAATCCTCTACACCCTGCCTGGTACATGGTAGGCACCCAATCAATTGTAATCGTGGCCATCAAGCTATCAGGAGCTATGGTGGATGGACTTAACGTGACCCCATGATCCCAGCCTCTGGTGTTCACGCGTTTCTGTGATCCCCTCCCCAGATGAGTGGGACCTGTGAATGGCTTCCAACCAACAGAATGCGGCAAAGGGGAGGCGATGCCTAGAGCTAGCTCTGGCGTCTCTCTCCATTGCTGGCTGTGAAGAAACAAGTTGCAATGAGTCCTATACCAGCAAGAAAGTGCAGCTTATTCTTTCAATAAGTAATCTAGGGGGCTTGGAAGTGGACCCTCCCCAGTTAAGCCTCCAGATGAGAATCCAGCTCTGACTGGCACTGTCGGCAGCCCTGCAGAGGACTTGCTAAGCCATGCCCAGAAACTGTGAGATATTAAATGTGTGTTGTTTTAAGCTGCTAAATTTTTGGTGATTTGTGACACAGTACAGAAGACAAATAGAGGTGCTATATCAAGAACATATCAGTATGAAATATGTAAGGAATATAAAACTTCCCCTTTTCCTGCATGTCAACCCCACGAGAGGGCATTATTTTCCCCATTTATAGAGAAAACTGAGGCTTAGGGGAGGGGCTAAATTCCCTGAGGCCACGCAGCTCCTGGGGGAGGAGGAGCCAATACATAGACCCCAGGGCCTGCTCTGAGCCAGGAGGAGCGCCAATATCCCTGCTGCAGTGGCAGCGGCCTTACCCCGCAAGGTGTTGTGCAGCTCCACGAAGCCTTTAGGAGGGTCTGCCCCGTCCAGTCCTCCACAGACCACACCCCTCCCTGGTGCCTGGGACCCAGCTGCTTCACACGGTTCTCTGGCACCTATCTGGTCCCTGAGGGCATTTGAGTTTCTAACTCCAGCATAACCAGGGCACTGGTAGTTACAGCCCAAGTAGATCCGGCCCTGGTTTCTCAAGGGCTTGGGAGCAAAAGGCAAGAGTCTAACTCCCCTGGAATAAGGCAGAGGCAAGGAGACAGCACATGCATCCCCTTCCTGAGCTGCGAGGCCACAATGAGTCACTCCCATGACATCCCTGTGTCCCAGGGTCACTGCACCCTTTGCACCCTGGGCTGGGCCTGGCCTGTCACCTGACTCCAAGGAGAAGCAAGTGGAGCAGAGGAGGAAGAGAGAAGCCCTCCCCAGGCTTCTGGAGTGGGCAGCAGTTCCCAGCTGGTGGGTCTTCAAGGAAGGCTGTTTCTTCATTTAAAAGAGATGCTGGGATACAGGCAGATGTCACGGGGAGCCTTGGGACCCCCGGCTCAGGGCTACATTTATACTACTGACCTAGGTTCTTTCATTCCTCCCTCCCTCCCCGCCTCCTCCCTCCTTTCTTTCTTCCCTCCTTCTTTATCCCACACGTGCTGCGGGGTAGAGCTGCCTGCACTTACAACTTGAGAATAATGTTCCTGAGTGCACAGGTGACAGAGAAGTCGCCAGGATCCAACCCAGTCAAGGCAGGAAGAATGGGCTCTGCTTTTGGGGTCCCCTCCTCTCTTTAGTTGGGCTGGTGACTCATGCCTACTCATGCCTTCTCATGCAGTTTGCAGAGCAGTCCCCAAGTTTTGACAAAGGGCCAGGGCCTCTGTCTGGGACTGGGAATACAAAAAAGAACGGAGCATGATCCCCGCCCTCGGAAACTCAGTCTGGCATGTGAGAGGGAAGGAGCCACAAACCCTGCTCCCCGGGGACAGGGCGGCTCTCACCTGGAGGAAGGCTGGCTCATGGCTCTGGAACTGGAACCCAGGCTGCATGTTTTAAAGCTGCCCAGATGAACTGGTGGTGTGGCTGGGTTGAGAACCACTATCAGAGGAAGAGGAACACCCTGTCACAGGCGCTTGTGGTTGGCTTGTATGTTCTCTTGCTGACAGCGTCCAGATTTTAGCCACTTCATCAGAAGAAAGTGATTTCTCAGGATTCGTTGGGCTCAAAGCTGCAAAAAAGAAAAAACAAACACACCTTCTCATAGACCGACGAGCACGCTCACACAGACCCATGCCTCAGAGGCAGATGTCTTAACTGCATGATACTGGTAAGCAGACATATTGGGAAATTTTTCCTTTTTTTTCCTCCCAGAATTTCAAAAGCAAATTGCATTTTACGTTTTCTTGACTGAGGGCAGACAATTTTCACTAATGGGCCCTGCAGGAGGTGATCTGATACAAACCCTCATCCATGACATGCTGCTACCTGCCAGGAACTGCATATGCGTCTTCCATTTGGAGCTCAACACCACCCTAGATGACACATCATCCCCATTTCACAGATGAGGCACAGTAAGGAACTTGCCCAAAGGCACACAGCTACCAAGTGGGGAGCCTGTCTGATTCACCTGCTTCTTGCCTCCAATGAAAAAGACAAGAGCTAGGCAATGGGCCCCATGTCACAAATATCACGTTCATCGAGAGGAACCACCCGGCACGAGGCCCTGAGTAAGGACAGGCAACTGTGAGGTGTTGGTGGGTGCTGCACTGGGTGAGGCCGGGCTAGATGTAGCCACCCCCAACTAGAGAGAGTGCAGCCTTAAACAGTGAGCAAGCCCCTCCCACTGGGGTCACCTAACATGATCACAGCAACCCTGGGCTACAAAATAACCAAGTCTAAAACTTCTCACTCTGTCTCCTAGGCTGAAAACTCAAATCCTGGAAGGTCTGGTTCAAGACTGGACCCCAGTGACAAACCCTCTCCCTGGGGTTCCACAGCCATCTTCCGCCCTCCCTAGGGCTCCCAGATTCAGTTTGCTGGAGGCTGGTGAGGCAGGCTGCAGATCTGCTGCCTGCCAACTGTGTGGCCACATATAAATTACTTTAGGAAGGACATCTATTTTTCTTTGCTTGGGAGAAGATGAAATGAAACAAAACTTATGAATGTTCCTGGCACTAGGCTCAGCCCAGGACGGAACCACAGTGAATGAGAAATTATAATGGAATTGTGCATGCTCTCCACCAGAAAGCTTTCCAAAATACAAGGTAATCCCAGGCCCAGGCTGACTGAGGTGAGCACTCACCGGCAGCAGGAGGGCAGATGAATCCATTTGTAGTGTTATTTGCCAGAGGGAGTTCCTGCTCCTGTCCGGAAATTCCACCAGATGGCGCCACGAGACAACTTCCACAGCCTTTCGGGTCTGCACACCAAGGCGGTGGGGTCCCTGCAAAAGGGCATTGGGAGTTCATCAGCCAGTTCAGAGCTAAGGAAAGCTGTGGTCCTTGTCGCTTTTCAAGGCTTTTCTTAACCTCCTTAATCCAGATGTTCATGAAAATGGGTTGTTAGATGGACACATAAAAGGGAACAACATACACTGGGGTCTTTCAGAGGGTGGAGTGTGAGAGGAGGGAGAGGATCAGGAAAAATAATGAATGGGTACTAGGCTAAATACCTGGGTGATGAAATAATCTGTACAACAAACCCCCATGACACCAGTTTACCTATACAATCAACCTGCACACGTACCCCTGAACTGAAAAATTGAATTTCAAAAAAGAAAGAAAATAGGGTATTAGAGGAAATGGGGACAGCGACGTTGGCAATGCCAAGCCAGGCAGCAGCAAAGTCCATCAAGTGTCTACTAAGGGCAAGGCCCTCCATGGTAGGGGTCAGTCTCAGAGCTGAAAGCGGCCTTCGTGGAAGTCTAGCCCAGCCTGTTTGTTTTTCCAGAATGGAGGAGGCCAGAAGGGGGTCACTCCCTGCCTGTCAGAGGTTGTGGAGAGGCCCTCTCAGCTCATCTCAGAGTGCAGTGTGAGCCAGGAGGCAGTGTTCAGGTGAGGCCACTGCAGGGAGCCAGCTGAGGGCAGAAATTGCACCCTATCCAACTGCAAAGGAGACTGAGAAACCCTATCAGGTCGTGACAGCCCCCCTCGGGCCCTGGAAAAGGGGAGACAGTTCTGTCAAGATCCCCACATTTCAGAGAAAAACCCCGTGGGTTGGTTCAGGGTCAGAGCTGCAAGGCCCTGGGGGTCAACTGAGTCAATCCCCTATGGTACAGGTGAGCCCAAGAGAGGGTCGACAACTCAAACACCAAAATACTGCAGGATGAAAACGCTCTTCATGTACTCATACAAAACATTCCACGATATATTATTGCTGAATGAAAAATGCAAAAGGCAGAGAAAACCGTGCCAAATTTTCTATTATTTGTATTTTTTTAAAAAAAGAAAAAATAGTATATTCATGTTTGCTCATATTTACATTACTAAATTCTGGAAGTATTTAGAAGACACTAAGAACAGTAGTTATAGTGGAGTGGAGGAAGGGTGGATGGATGGGGACAGAGGAGGGAGAAAGGCTTTTCTCTATATACATTTGTATATTATATCATCTTTGAACCACACAAATGCATTACTTTACAAAGAGTGAGACTTTTAAAATAGCTTCCTCAAGATCATACCATGTTTCCTACAGTTGTGGGGTACTGTTACCTGCCAGGGTGTGAAATGATTTGGGGTGGTGCACACGACGATTATAAACAATTTACAAACACAGCACCGAATCATACGGTGAGGAAGTCATTCTTCTTTCGTTTCTCTTCCGTCCTCTGAATCCATCGAGGAGAATGTCTCAGTGAGGGGCCAGTGAGGCTTCAGTACCACTCCCAATCTTCATAAACTGACTTTTATTTTAACAAAGAAAGCAGGCATCAGGCTAAGGGCTTGGACAACAGCAGTGACTAGCTAAAATGGAATATCATTCGTTTTTCTGTCCTGGATTCATGTGTACGAATACCTACTGTGAACGGCAAGTAGTGCTGGCTTTCCATTTACAATAGTAACATGAAGCTTCCTTTTAAAACAGTAATTTAAGATGTGAGCTGCCGTTAAAAAAAAAATGTTAAGTGAGTCCTAATACCATTGCTCTGTGGATACAGTAACATTGAGGACTAACCTGTGCCAGAAAAGGCTAAGTGCTTCCCATGAATTAATGTACTTGATCCTCTCACCCTGGGAGGTGCAGATGAGGACATGGAGGTTTAGGGAGATGCTGGGTCGTGCCAAGATCTCTGGTTAATAGAGCTGAAGCCATGGCCGGGCGCGGTGGCTCACGCCTGTAATCCCAGCACTTTGGGAGGCCGAGGCGGGCGGATCACAAGGTCAGGAGATCGAGACCATGGTGAAACCCCGTCTCTACTAAAAATACAAAAAATGAGCCGGGCGCAGTGGCGGGCGCCTGTAGTTCCAGCTACTCGGGAGGCTGAGGCAGGAGAATGGCGTGAACCCAGGAGGCGGAGCTTGCAGTGAGCCAGGATCGCGCCACTGCACTCCAGCTTGGGCGACAGAGCGAGACTCCGTCTCAAAAAAAAAAAAAAAAATAGAGCTGAAGCCAGGAATGGGAAGCAGGCATTCAGCCCCCAGCAGGGCCCCTGCCCACCAGAGGGACTGAAGCTGGCCGCAGGGCCAATGCAGACCAGCCCTGTGCCCCACATGCCTGGGCACTTGAGGCAGTGGCCCTCCGGCTTCATCTCAAGCAGCTCCAACCTTCTCCTTCCAAGTTCTGAGTCCCTAAAGCCATCTGCTTTCAGCTCTGCCCCCAGTCTCAAAGCAGAGGCTCAGAGGCACACACACGCCCCTCCATACACACCCCCTTTGTAATTCTTTGAAGCCCTCCCTCTACCTGCTTCTTGAACTTTCTCTTGCTGCTCTTTTGTGCACTGGGTGGCAGCACCAGGTAGGGTAGGCTTGCTTGTCCTACTGTCTGGACAGGCTGCAGATTCTCTATTTAGTTTTGGCAGCAGAGCTCTGCTGCCTCCCTCCCCTGTCCCCACTCAACCCTTTGAGAGATAACTGGATTTGTCACTTTGCAATGAAATTATGCATTCGGGAATGCAGGGAAGAGAGCTAAATCTTCATGACTGCGGCCCAGGGCTGGGAAGCCACTGAGGCCACCCAGCTGGGCAGCTGCAGTCAGTATCCTCACACCCACCTCTGTGCCCTCTGCCCCCACACAGCGGATCCCATGGGGCTGCAGGCAGGTCTCAGCAGATAGTGCAGCTGGGCATCTGCATCTGCAGCAGGTTTCCAGACGACGCTGATGCAGGTACAGCCAGAGGTAAAACAGAGGAGTAGTCAAGAGCATGGGCTGTGGGCCTCTGTTTGAATCCTAGCTCCACCCAGCTCGCTTTGGGTCCTACAGCAAGTTATAAACCCTCTGCCATGTCCTCTGCCATGAAATAAAGATGACAGTGACAGTACTTATGTCATAAGGTGCTAATGACAATTAAATGACATAAATGCTTAGCACAGGGCCAGGCACTCCATACACTCTGAACCAACATCATCCAGTCCTGACACTTAACACCAGCAACAAGCCCCTCAGCTTCTAGGAGCACAGCGAAGTGGCCGTGTTTCTTCTCTAACAGCTGCAGGAGGGGCAACCCTGCTCTTAGAAGCCCAGCACTACCCCAGTCAGGGCTCCCAGGTGCCTGGGACAAGGCGGCCACTCTGGAGCCAAAGTTGCCAGTACAGAAGCTGTGGGCCATGGTGCAGCACCTGTGGAGGCAGCTCGGGGGTGGGCGCAGTCCCCCTCTCCATGGCCCTCTGCCCACCTCTCACCACCATGCTTTGGGTGATCCCCTGAAAGGCTCTGAGAGGTGGGCAGGGCCCAGATCGTCATCCCTTCACAGGGATGAGGAAACCAAGGCTCAAGACGCTATGTGAACTGTCCACAAAGAGCAGAGCCAGGCCTGTTCCTGTGCCACCAGCTGAGCCATAGAGTGCAGGGGCAGCTTTCCTCCCGTCCTCAAGTTCAGGCATCCAAGTGGACAGAGGCCCTGACCACTGCTCAGGGCTTCCCCTCAGACCCATAGAGCTAGAAAGGCCCCAGAGAGGGAGCCCAACATCCCCGGCCCCCACCTATGCTAAAAGGCCCCATCCTGGCCCCAGTCAGAGGGAGGCAGGAGCTGGGAGACAGTTGCTTGGGAGAACTGGCAAAACCAGAGCCACTGTTTCACCTGATCTCAGGCTTGGTGTCTCCTTCAGGGAGATGATGGTCCCCACTTCCAGGACTAGCTGGAGGGTGGAGAGGGAGGAGCTTAGGGAGCCAAGGGCTTGGAATGTGTGGAGGGGACCAGGAGGCTGGCTGGTCCCGAGATTGAGCAGAACAGACGAGTCGGACCCCAGCAGCTCTACTCACCGGGTGGCCCCAGCCAAGGAGTCAAAGCAACTCCCCACAGTGGGGCACTCCGTTCTTCAGCCCCACAGAGGCGGTGGAGGCCCAGTGGATCTGAGCTGCTGGCTCACACGGGTGGGAGTAGGAGCAGCTCTCCCCAGGAGCAGGGCTGGAAATCCAGCCTGCCACGGAGACGCAGGGCTTCGAGGATCAGCAGAAACCTCCCTGGAAATCTGCCCTCTTGGGCAGGATTGGAACAAGACAGGCAGCTCAGTCTGGGGGTCCTGTCACACAGCGGGCAGAGCTGGCGGTGGGCAGACAAGGAAGAGCCCACCCCCTCAGTGAACTTCTGATTAGGATGCTGAGTAGACCGAGGCAGAGGCTCACTCAGGCCCCTCAGCTCTGACCTGGCCTCCCAGATGACCTAGCCTCTGCCTGTGCAGGGCACAGCCACCCCCTGTGAGGCCTCAGTCAGTCGGTGCAGGGGAGAGACCTGTTGAGGGCTTTCAGGCAGGCCGGAAGTACGCGGCCCCAGGCCACTCCCAGCTGCAAGCTGCATGACCCCAGGGGGCGCCTCCCCACACTAAGCTGCCTCTGTCTGCGTACCTTTCAGACACTGGGCTTAGGAAGTGAGGCAGAGAAGACAGGTGGCTCAGAGAAGGGCCAAGAGGCCAATCCAACCAGAGCAGCTCTATGGGGCCTGGAGCTCAGTCAACAGGGCAAGACTTCACCGCCTCTTGGTCCCCACCAACTGACTTCCAGCCCCCAGCCCTGCCCCTTAGGCCGGCTAAGCACCAAGCAAGGCTCAGGAGAAGCCATCTCTGCCCACTGTGGCCCCTGCCCACCTCCACCATCCTGCCTAAAGCCAGGGAGGCCCCTCTCCTCCCACTCTTTCTAGTCAGGTGCAGAGGGAAGCCCTGCTCACCCCTACCTTCTCTAACGGACCCTAATTCTCAAAGGGCTTGGACTTTAGGAAAGGAAACTGAGTTCTAGAAAAAGGTATTGTTCTCAGCCCTGAATGTGAGGACTCAGATTCATATCCCCTCAAGGTATTTTATATATTGGGGTTTTCTACTCATCATTTATTTTTTCAGAGTCCTGCAGCTTTGCAAGGGGAAAATGAAAGGGAAAACCCACCCCTAAGAGAAGCTGAGGGAGAAGGGAGTTAGGAGAGTGGGGTATGGCCAGGAACTTCCCTGTGGCTGGCAGGCTGGAGTTGTAGGGGCTTGGAGCCAGGCAAGTGGGTGGGCCGAAGTATCAGGACAGAAGGAGATGCCATGGGGACCAGCTGAGACACCAGCAGGGCTGAGGCCCCAACTCCCTTTGTCCAGGTCCCAGGTGAGGAGCTTCTGTTCCAGACAGCATGGCAGGCTCTCAGATGGAGGGGTGGCCTCAAGCTCCTTCTTGCTCCCATCCTCCCCCGCAGACCCAGCAACTCCAAAACATGCCTTCCTCCCTGCGAACAACCAATCCCAGCGGATCCCAAGAAAAGGATGAGAAACCTGGTGCCAGGAGTCCTTGGCTCAACCAGCCTCCCTCCAACCTATAAATAACCCTCCTCCCTCAGTGGCCAGGAGCCTCAGCCACCCAGTGCCTCCCCAGGCAGGGCTTCCACGCAGACCCAGGGCTCGCATGTCAAAACTCAAGGCCTCCTCTCCAGAGAAGCAGGGCATCCTCATTCCACATGCACTGTTTTCTAAGGAGAATGCGCTGCAGCCAGGGGTGATGGGAGCCTCTGGAGGGTGAAAGAGGCTGAGTAGCCTCTGGTCAGGAAGGTCTCCTTAAGCAAGGGAGACCTCGGACCTGCACCCCAGCTCTCCCGACCCTGCAGCCTCACCAGTCATTCTGGCCAGAGGAACCCTCCCCACAAAGCTGACCATGATGTCTGGCATCTCAGAGTGAGGCTGGAAGTTATCCACACATCAGGCAAGGGGTCCAAGCCAGATCTCATCTAGACTTTCTCTCCTAGTTCTACGATCCTACTGAGAAAATCTTAGAAACCACCCTCTGAGGTCAAATGCTCGCTGCTGCCTGTCCCCCAAACCTAATCCCTCTTTACCATGTTTTCCAGATCTGCGTGCAGGTGTACGGTTATTTATACATTTCTTTATATGGACTCATTTTTACTTAAATCTATTTATTGAAAATGTCACAATAAATAGAATGCCAGTACCACCTGTCCTAAACAATAGGTAGCCAATAAAAATATACCATTAAAACAAAAACAGTGCTATAAAAGTCTGGAATTTTCCCCACCTGCCCTAAGCCTAAGTCCTGCTCCCTAGGCAGAGGAGACGTCGGCAAGTCTTCCACAGGCATCGGAACATGTTGGCATCCAGCTGAGATCTTCTCAGCATAAAGGGATTGAGACAATTGGGAAGGGCATCACGTTCTTGCTCTGATTTTGTGCTACTTAATGCAGGCCCCATTCCACCTCAGAATATGTCAGGGGAGCCAAGGGATCTACCCACACTTTGGAAATGCTGGACTAACGTCTCCCTCTGCCTCATGCTTACCACAAGGGGAAACACACTCCTGTGGTCCCCTCTCTGATCACACTTTCGAGGCACCACCAGATCCCCTCCCAATATGCCTGCTCTCACACCAAGGCCCAGCAAGTCCCTCTCAACAGGCCCACCCGCATCAGCCCCCAGAGGTCACCGCTGACTCAGGTGGGACACCAGGTAGACAAGGCCCACCAGGAGGAGGCCACGAACACCAAGCATCATGAGCAGGAAGAGGAGCAGGATGGAGGTCACCGGCTCCACAGCATGGTTGCCGAGATGCCACTGCGGGAAGCCCATGTTCACCAGCTGCCGGTTGAGGTCATTGAAGGGGGACTGAGCAGCACCCAGCCTGGCACCTGCCTGCTGCTGGCGGGGGCCAGGACCTCCTGGGGGAGCACCATGGCCCCTGTTGAGGAAGCTCTAGAACATGAAGACAGAGACAGATGAATGAATCCTTGGGTTGAGGCACCAGCCAGGAGGCAACCTCTCTAGGCTGCGTCCTGCCCTTCCTACAGCCACCCAGGGTCACACCCTCCTTTCTCAGCAATCCCCCAGGCCACTCATAAGAATCCCAACAACCAAGTCACAAGCTTTCAGAGCACAAAACATGCCAGTCTATATTCCTTACATCAGGCCCAGGACAAAGGAGAGAGGAAATGGTTGAGGCAGGTTGGACTACAGGGCATGGCTCTAGGGCCAGCATTTTTAATATTTATCATCACTCCTTTCTTTTTTTTGAGATGGAGTCTCGCTCTGTCGCCCAGGCTGGAGCACAATGGCACGATCTCAACTCACTGCAACCTCTGCCTCCCGGGTTGAAGCCATTCTCCTGCCTCAGCCTCCTGAGTAGCTGGGATTACAGGCATGCATGACCACACCTGGCTAATTTTGTATTTTTAGTAGAGACGGGGTTTCACCATGTTGGTCAGGCTGGTCTCAAACTCCTGACCTCGTGATCCACCCACCTCAGCCTCCCAAACTGCTAGGATTACAGGTGTGAGCCACCGCACCCAGCCACTCCTTTAAAATAATTATTCTGTGCCCAGGGCTCATCTCCTCTACTTCCTCTCCAGCTTCTCTGTCATGCAACTCACTCTTAAAAGAAAGACGCCAGCTCCAGTGAGATTTGCTAACCAAGTTAAAGGAGAGAGAGCTCTTGGGTGTGAAGTCTGGGGAGGCTGCCTGGAGAAAGGAGATCTGGGGAGGTAGACAATAAGCCACTGCATCTTCCCCAAGTCTTACCCAGCGCTCTGCAAAAAGGGTTTCAGGCTAGAAAAGGTTAGTGACCAGCAAGAGAGACTTCTGGAAGCTAGGAGTAGCCAGTACACAGGAGGTCATCTGTCCCACTCCACAGGAAATGAGTACCTACCTGTCGAGGAGTGCTACCTCTTGGTGCCTGGGTAGTGGTCCTCACTCGGGGGTCGTCATCCTGCACGATTTCCCCATTGGCCAAGATCCGCACCATCCTCCCAGGCGCTCTGGGTCCCTGATGGGCTGCACCTGCATTGTGTGGTCAGGGTGGGTAGGCTAATGGAAGCCAAGTGGCGCAGAAGTTCTCCCCACCACAAAACCTTTAACTGTTAGTGATCTGGGACCAGACCCATGAAGATCCGTGGAGGATTCTTCCCCTGACCTCAAAAAGCCTGAAGGAAAAAATTTACCAGAAATTGAGGGAGGCTTGAGGTCAGTGATGCTCACAGCGGTGACCCACGCTGAGCAGATGCTGTGTCTGATTCACAAAAAGGGGAGAAATAAAGGCAAGGTGTTTGCCAGGCAAAAAGATTTCAGACATGGAGTCCACCAGGAAAACTATCAAAAGGATCCTTGGCAAAGGAAGTTTTATTGCCAATCACTACACTGCCAACAGCACAACTGGGACTGAGCCCCTGCTGTGGCCCACGCCCCGTGGAAAGCTCATCCTGCAAGGCTCACCTCACTCAAGCCTCACAACACTCCCCCGTGGAGGGTACTAGCACGGCCACTGTGTCACAGGCAGAGGCACAGGGAGACTTAAGTGGCCTGCCCGGGATCACACCTATGGGCAGCAGAGAAAGAACAGGAGGCCAGAAGCTCTGGTTCTAGGGCCCTCTCTGGGTACTAAACTGGGAGTCCAGGGCACCAGGATCCCCAATGGGGTTCCACTTCCCTTCCACTAAAAAATGGGTCGAGTGTGTTGCTCCCCCAGGGAGTCAATGTCACCACCTGGGCCTTCCCCAGGAACACCCAGGGAGATGGGGGTCACTTCGGGGTTACTTTACAACCACTGCCTGGTAGCGGCAGACCACACTAGCCACCATGCACCTCTGGGCTGGCTCAGAAAAGCATACCTTTGCTGCAGAGGGCACGCCCCTCACCTGTCCCTCACTTCGCAGGAAACACCAGTCCAACCTTGGCTAATGCGCCCAGGGCCCAGCCTTCCCAAAATATGGGAGGGGGGTTGCTGCGGTGACTCTCGAAAGGCTCCACTCCGCGGACGCCTGGACTGCGGGCCCCTCCACTCCTCCCCTTGAGTCTGGGTAAACGCCATTCGTTCTCAGGAGATAAGCCTCAGTGTCCATCTACGTTCTAGATAGCACTGGTGACATATACGCCAAAAAAGGTCACGAGCCCCTGCTGTCTCGCCCGTAGCCCGGAGCCCGGGCCAGGCGCGTCCCCCTCCTGAAGCCCGCTGACCCTGGCGCAAGCCGAGCAGATGGTGGTCGCACGCAGTCCCTTTGTGCTTTGTCATCGCGCGGCCCGCAGGGTGGGCCACCCGCGGGCCCGGCCCGCGGCGCACCTGACATTCCAGGCCGGGGGCGGGAGGGACGCTGCCCAGGCCGCCAGCCCCAGCCTCTGGAGTCCGACACCGGCTCCAAGTCCCGGTCCAGGCTGCGGCGAGGGATGCGCTCCCTCCCCGGCGCGGCGACTCACCTGCAGGCGCGACTCCCGGCCTCGGCGGCGTCCACTCCCAGCGGCTCCAGGCGGTTTCCTCCCACCTGACCTCACAGGAAGCGCGCGCCAGAGGGGCGCGGCCCAGTGGTGGCGCACATCGCCCTCTGTAGGCCGCCTGAGGAATTGCACCTGCTCGGCCCAGGGTTGGGGGCGGCGCGGGGTGGTGGGGGTGGGGGAGGTGGGGCGTGGGAAGGAGTGGGAGGTGGGGATGGAGAGAAGAGAGGATGAGAGAAGACACATGGAAAAGAAGGAGAAGAAGGAGGAGGGATAAAAGAAAGAAAAGGAAGCAGAGTTCACGGAGGAAAAACCCAAGGGGTGGAGGTGCACTGGCCTGGGAGGAAGGGCGGGCGCAGGCTCAGATGACCAGTGTACGTTTGCTGAGCCAGCTCTGTGGATGCCCCTTGAGTAGGACCCAACCCTGCCCTCGAGGAGTTCCAAGTTCAGCGGGGAAGATGAGGCAGGAACGGGGCAGACCCCTCTATAGGCTTCCAGGAGAAGATGCGTTTGACCTGGGGCAGGAGGGTAGGTAAGGATAGGTAAGGTCACTCTTGGCAGAAGGAGCCACCTGCGGGGAGTGAATGATCTACCTCTGCTTCTTTCCTGATGTTTTAAAATCCACCCCTCCCCCACCACCTTCATAAGCTGTTCCCTGTGGACCTGCTCACCAGTGAGGGAGAATGAACTGTGCAGTCCCACAGTCTGGGTTCAGGTTCTGAACTCTGGCAAGTTACTTAGCTGCTCAGTGTTGCAAAACAGGTGTAATCATAGCCTTACAGGACCTCTGTGAAGATTAAGTATGATGTCTCTGGCACACTAGTAATGTTGATAAACGTTAGCTGTGATTATCATTTAATAAATGTTTCTGGGAGTGGGCAGATATTTATTGAGCATTTATTAGAACCCCGATTCTGCTAGCTGCTGGGCAGAAGGAACAAAAATAAGAGAGAGATTTAGACCTGGTCTGGAGGACTCATAGTCGGCCACCGTAGTCTGATTATTTGATCATGAAACCTTATCAGCAAAAAACGTTTTACGGGTCACCCTGGTATCTGTATCTTTTTTATATGTTATGATTTTTGTTTGTTTCTAAATTACACATGCGTATTTTGAGAACAGATTGGCATGATGGATAAAAGGTGGCTGCTGGAGTCATCCTGTGTTTAAATGTTGGTGTGACTGCTTTCTGGCACTTTCGTATCAAGTGCTTGGATGAGAGCCTGGCCGCAGTAAGTGCTCAAGGGCTGCCGACTGTTATGATCATTACCTCTTCTACTATTAAGTCAATTGTAAAGCATGCACATTTTAAAAGCATAGGATTTTGGTTTATATTTATAATCCTAGTGCTTTCTCCCTGCATCCCAATGTGTTTCAGGTATGTCAAGTGCATGAATGAAAGCAGTAATCATAAAGCAGGATGCCCGATTATCACAGGTGGCTTGTGATCCCAAGTCACAATGTGCACATTGGAATTACCTGAGATGTTTAGAAACCATCCCAATACCTAGGTCCCACCCCAGAGATCACAATGTCGTTGATCTGGGTTACAATCTGGACATGGAGACATTTTAAAAACCCAGTCTTCTAATGAGCAGCTAGGGCCAAGAGACACTGCCTTCCATGAACAGAGCCCCATAAGTAGGTCACAGAACTCAGGAGCCCCAAGAAGGAGGTAACCTCTGTGGGCTGAGCAACCGGGGAATACAGGCAGAAAATCATGGATGTTTTCGGGAAGATTTGAGCTGGTATAACTGCTGCCAAAGAGATACACTCCAGCTGGAAAGAACCATAAGAGTCCAGAGGAAGAAGCAAGTGCCTCCAGAGAAGTCAAGAACAGCTTTGGGATGGGGAGTGATAGTGTTTGACTGAACTTAGAAACAGCCTATTATTACCAACTAAAACAGCCTAAGGAGGTAACCTGCCACTTTTGCTATCTCTCCACCTTCTTCAGATGTCTCCCCTGCTCAAGAACCTGCAATGGTCCCTACTGTCTGCTCCAACAAGCCCCCAACTCATTGGCAAGGCTTTGACAACCCTCCATCTCTAGCCCCAGCACACTCTCAGCACCTCCCTCCCTCAGCTCTGCCCACCTGGTCTCTTTGCTTTCCCCAGAGTAGATCACCCAAAGGCCTGCTTTGCTTGGGCCTGAATATCTGCTGGAAGGCCAGCTCCACCACATCTAAATCCCTTCATCCACAAATGTGATAGTTTCATGTAATAATAATAATAATAAACCCAATGTGTGCAGAGTCCTTACTTCTGAAGTGTTTTCCCAGAGACCACTTCATTCTTTTTTGGATTATGAAATAGAAAGAGTGGGTATTATTGTTCCCCTTTTACCGAGGCGAAATTGAGGCTCAGAGACAATGTAGATGACCATCCCAAGGTCACTAACAGAGCCAGGGTTCAAATGAAAGCAGGTCCCTGGGCTCTGCATTCCAGGCTTGTGCATCCACCAAACAGACTGCCCTGAGTTCATCTCAGCTCTGCAGCCTCTTTACAATTGTGCCCCTGCCTCCCCCATGCCATCAGCACAAGATTGGGCTTTGGGTCATGCCTTAACCCCAACATGTGGTCATAGCAGAATTCATAATTTTTAAGTCAGGTGCTCTGGCCCCTTCTCTGACTCTGCAGGTGAAAACAACTCTTTCTGCCTTGAAAAAAGAACGGCATGTTGATAATGGTGATGTCATATTAAATATATTTATCTATGTCTTTCTTCTGCTATTTCCCCTTGTCTCTTTCCCCGACTCTGGCAGACACTATGCCTGTGTTTATTACTCAGATAATGGTGTGGGAGAAAAGCAGCACTAGCCTGCCAGTGCCCACTGTTGGTGCCTCCATAGGCCTGTGAAGACAGTATGTCAGGGGCCTCTTCAGAGAAACACTGGGAGATGAGGAAATGATAGGAGCATAGGTGTTGTGTGCTAGATCTCAAAGGTGGGCATGAGGCTTGGGAAAGGGAATGGCCAGATAGTGAGTATGACAGGTAGGGCCTTATATGGCCTTGTGGAAATCCTTGGGTCCATTGTGGCTGAGGTGTGGTGAAAGGATTCTTGTGCTCCAGCAGTGACAAGGGAATAGTGGGAAAATTGCTAGACTTGAAAGGGTCAGGTAGACAGGTATGAAGGGTGGTGCAGTGATGGCCTTCATCCATGGACAGATGATGGGGGACCAGAGGATTGATAGAGGCCTCAGAAAACACCTTGCATGGTCAGAAGACTGGAGTGGCCCCACAATATCTTGGTTATATGTAAGTATGTAAGTCCCCTAATACATAAACCCACTTAGGTATAATATATTAGCTTGAGTACAGGCTATGCTGCTAGAACAAAAAGAATTAAATATACAGTGACTCAGTCAAGTAGATGGGCAGCTCTGCTTCACAAGGCTATCCAAGGACACCCACTCTTCATAGCTTATTGCTCCCCTACACCCTAGGATGCCATCCTTATTTGCATGGTCAAAACTGCCTCACCAACTTCTTCACCATATGCAGCTCATGGAAAGGTGAGAAAGAAGAAATGGAGGGCTAGTGATTTCTTTTAAAGAAAGTATGATAGATGTAGCACATATTACTTCCCTCACATTCCATTGTGAAGAACGAGTCACATGGCTACAGGGCAGGAAGGCTGCAGAGTCTGCAGTGATAGCCCTATGTCATTCCAGATATTGATACTTGTGTCTTCTATCTTTTGTCTTTCACTTTTGCTAGAGGTTTGTCAATCTTATTGACTGATCTTTTCAAAGAACCAGTGCTGCTTCACTGATTCTTCTGTTTTTATTTTCCTGTTTTCAATTTCATCGATTGCTGCTCTTACCTTTATTATTTCTTGCCTTCTGCTTGCTTTGGGCTTATTTTGCTCTTCTAAGTTCTTGAGTTGGGTGTTTAGATTATTGATTTAAGATTTTTCGGTGTAAACATTTAGTGCTATAAATTTCCCTGTTAGCACTCTTAGCTGTGCCTCACACATTTTGACATGTATTTTCGTTTTCATTTAGCTAAATGTATTTTTAAATTTCTTTTGCTACTTCCCCTTTGATCCATGGATTATGTTAAAGGATGTCGTTTAGTCTACAAGTGTTGGAGATTTCCTGTTATCTCTCCATTGTTGATTCTAGTTTAATTCCATTGTGGTCAGAGAACACACTTTGTATGAGTTCAATTCTTTTAAGTTTGTTGAGGTTTGTTTTAGGGCCCAGGATATGGTCTATCTTGATGAATGTTTCATAGAAGGTTGAAAAGGATATCCATTCTGCTGATTTTGGATGGAATGTTCCATAAATCTTTCTTTTTCTTTTCTTTTCTTTTTTTTTTTTTTTTTCAGGTTCTGACTCTGTCATCAAGGCTGGAGTGCAGTGGCACAATCACAGCTCTCTGCAGCCTCGACCTCCTGCCTTAGCTTCCCAGTTAGCTGGGACTACAGGTACGTGCCACCATGCCAAGCTAATTTTTTAAAATTTTTATATAGATGGGTTCTTGTTATGTTGCACAGGCTGGTCTTGAACTCCTGGGCTGAAGCAATCCTCTTGCCTCAGCCTCCCAAAGAGCTGGGATCATAAGTGTGAGTTGCTATGTCCAGCCCATAAATCTTGTTTATGTGCTATTGTTTGATGGTGTTGTATATTTTTTATGATTTTCTGACTAATTGCTCTGTCAGTTGTTGAAAGAGACATATTGATATATCTAACAATAATTACACATTTGTCTATTTCTCCTGTCAGTTTTTGCTTCACATGTTTTGCAGCTCTGTTGTTTGGTACATACACATTTAGTTTTGATATGTCTTCTTGGTAGATTGATTGTTTCATCATACATAATGTCTCTTTCCATCTCTGGTAATTTTTCTTGCTCTGAACTCCTGCTTTTCTTTAATTCATGTTTGCATAATATACCTTTTTCCATCATTTTACTTTCAACTTGCCTAAATTGTTATATTTGAAGAGAATTTCTTATACACAGAATATAGGTGGATCATGTTTTTAATCCACTCTGCCAGATTGCTTTTTATTTGGATTATTTAGACCATTACATTTAATGTAA